TCCCTATTTGTACATAAAAAATCGATAAATAATCAAAAGTGTGAAGAAGTTACAGTATTACTTGAATGAGGACATTGATTTACATAGGTCACTGGTCTCATGGCCAAAAGGTCACATAGTCCGCTTGTTGCTGCAGCATATGTCTGTCAAGCTGACATTTAAATGTCTCCACAGAATGAGCCATAACAGTCGTCCCGGGCAGGTTATTCCACGGTTCCACGACACGGTTGGAGAAGAAATACTTCCTCACATTCAATCTACCCTGGGGCACACGTAGCTTGAAGGGATGTCCCCGGAGGTTCGTTGTAGTGGCTAGTTAGAAAAAGTCATCGCACCGAAGGGCGCAGTCCAAGCCAAGCACGATACGAAAAGTTAGTATCATGTCTCCGCGCAACTGCCTATAACTCAGAGGATAGAGATTAAGGTTAGTTAAGCGGATCTAGTATGACAGTGCACTTTGACATCTTATTAGTTTTGTTGCTCACCTCTGCACCCTTTCGAGAAGATTGTAATCCTGATGCGTCCACGCTCTTTAGGCCTGAATTACATATTCGAGATGCGGCCTTACAAACCTGGCGAAGACTTTGGCGAAGCAGTCTTTATCGAAAACAGTGAATGCCCGCTTGATGGCATGCAGCAGTGAAGTTTCGGCCTTGGCCGCCTTACAACATTGTGTAGAAGGCTCTAGGCTGTCTGCAACCCAAACTCCGAGATCTTTCTGAGTTTCTGCTTCTCGGAGTGGCATTCCGTTCAGATGGTATTGCCGAGTACTAGGGGTCTGACTTCCGAGGCGCAGAATGGTGCATTCGTTCTAATTGAAGGACAAGAGCCATCTGCGGGACCACTCGTCCAATCGACAAAGATTTTCTTGGAAGTTGGTCTCATCGGCAGCATTCTGGATAACTTTTCAGATTTTTATGTCATCCGAAAACATGGCACTATCACAGTCTAACCCATTTGCACAATCATTGATGAACAAGAGAAAGAGGGTTGGACCGAGCACCGAGCCTTGTGGAACTCCACTCGCTATGAATCTCCGCCTTGATTGCCGTTGTTCTACTCAGAAAATTTAGGAATGTCCGACGAGGAAGTTCTCGATCCACTTGAGAAGTTTGCCGCCGATGCCCTTTATTCTCAAGTTGTGCAGGAGACGCTGGTGAGGAACACTGTCAAAGGAGTCTAGAGAACGTTCTTTTGGTTTATAGGCTATTACACGGAGATCTCTTGCAGGCACTTCATACTTTCAAAGGATTGCATCTGATTACCTTTTGGGTTTGCTACCGGAACCAATTTCCGAGGTGACAGATTATAACTGCACATTAAGCAGGCAAGACTGGGTGTGCGGAGTTACACTTTATCAATCAAGGTGGGCAAAACATTGAATATTCCGTCACAAATGTTGTGGCCTCACCATCAGTTGGAAACATTAGATTAAATTAAATTAAATTAAATGTAATTAAATGCCAGTTTACAGGCATTGTCAAGGGAAGCGATTAAACACAAATCCGTCCAGCAGTGAAAAAAAAAACTCCTGAGCTTAAGGCATAAAAATATAGGTGATGGTGGTTTTTGTGGTTTGGAGGGCTCAGGAGAAAAAAAACTGCTGGCGGTAGATTTTCGACCGTCAAGAAGGGGGGAGGTTGCACGGTATCGGAGATTATCGGACGTCAAATTCCTTTCATGAAGTTGGGGATAGTCAAAGTAGAGGCGTTGAGGAACAGCTGGTGAGACCGGCCATAGNGGCCTAACTGCCTCGATATGAGGGCTGGGGGGCAGTTGCGAACCCGCTACGTTTTGAGTCGGGGTATTTGAGGCACTGTTCGCCGATTGTGGAGGAAAACATTTTATACTGGTGCTGGATTTATTGGGTGTCCGAGTGGCTGTGACAGCAATTGGATTTGCCTTTGACTTAGGCACATGCTTAGGCTTACTAGGGGTTGCTGAGGGAGTCGATAGAGGCGTGTTTATACCAGGCGTGGTGGTGTGTTTAAAGAGGTCAGCATTAAAAGTAGTCGAACTCCCTACGGAATTGACTATGCCGTGACTTGCAGATGCCGCAGGTGGTGTTGTAGAGGACATATTCAGACTGACAGTAGGTGTCATTATCTTGGTGTTGGTTTTTGCCGATTTCAGTTTATTCAGTCTTCGCTGCAGGGGTGTGAGGTCTGGCGAAACGGAGCAGCGCCATTTACGGCAGAAGTCTCTAGTCATCTCCCTACTCGACAAGATAAAATCGACTTCTATCATGGAGAAAAGGGTAACTAGTATCGGCGCATTACGACTAAGCGAGCGAAGTCGCTTAGCTTGTGCGACACTAAAACTCAAGCCACAATTTTGTAGGAACACATGCGCTCCCTCCATAGCAGATAAGTGGCTCGGAATGTTTCGCAGTACGAAATTATGCTTGCGTTTAATTCGTTCCTCAGTTTCCGAACTTATTACCACAATAAGTTTCAAAGCTTGTTCAAGCACTTTTTCAGAAGTGCTGTTTATGTCTCCATAAATCAGCTGATCGATTATTTCGCCGGCTGATGGCCTGCTACGACTAGCAGAGGCGTATTTTTGGACGACTGAAGGGTCGAGAGGTTCTACATGTACTAAAGGGATTTGTGAGCTAATCAGATCTGCAGACGGCGAAGAACATACGCTGGCGTCTGCCATGTCTTCAGTCACGATTTTAGCACCCAGAGACGGTGGGGAGGCCGCAAGCTTTCGCCTTTTAGCACGTGCTCTGCGGGGCATTACAGACAAAAAAAAAGTTTTTTCGTTACAGAAGAGGGATCAAAACGGAAACGCGCACTGAGTAGCACGTATTACTGTTATTTAACTACAAAAACTAGAAAGCGGTAGTAGGGAAAGGATTCACTACAAAGGATTTTTACAAAATACGACTATTTTGCCAGACTGTCAAACAAACTTTACGTTCCAAAATGAGCCGCAGACATGGGCGATGAAACTCATCCCTTGAGACGCATGATTGAATAACCATATATTTTGGTCCTCTTAGCACTGTTCAGCTCACATTCTTTTCTCTGTGCGTTTGAAAATATGTTGTATTTTTAGAAGTGTACTTAAGGATTTTATGTCTACTTTCTCGTAAATCATTGAACTAAACATTTAGGCCTTCTGTCCCTTATTCTACTCGACTTGCCGTTAAATTTTAATACATAAATTTATGCTGACGCCTTCTGGGCTGTTTGTCACTTCGCCATCAAACATTCTCTCCTACGTTTACGCTCCCGTGCACCGCTTTAACTGAGTTTGAGCTCCGTGCATTTTATCGTGAAAGGGCAACATAGTTGACAACCGACATAGATTTGAATCATAGATCCCGAATATTAAAGTGCATTTCGGGAAAAATCATAACGTTCGCCAATCACTCAGTCAAAAAGTATGCATTATGAGACAACGTCAGACAGTGAACCTCTGAGGTAACGACAGAAGATAAATTGAATAGAAGTTGACACATAGATTCTTGCACATGTACCACGGGAGCTCATTCTCAGAGAGACATTTGCCTTGTTGTACAAGGAAAATGAGCGATTATGCTAACAGGGCGAGCCATTTATACGGTCGCTTGTAGGTTTTCTTAGAGCGCTATTGTGTTTCGCGCGAACAAATTGTTCATAGGCCGCGACTGAAGTAATCAATATTTCAGTTGAATAAATTCCTCAAAGTTAAGACGACTTTAAGTGATCATGACGAAAAATAAAGGTAAAGTCTAATAAACCCTTGTTTGCAGTCGGTCACACATTATGTATTAAATCACTTTTAGACAAGTGAATAACCCGTTTTAAATAGTCCAGCCGGCAAGGTAGCCGGCGTAAATTCCGTGCCTT